GTCTTTAATTCCTTCGGACAATAATAGGCATGATTTTATCTTGTGGTCACAGTAAATAAAGAATAATTGTAGTCATTGGTGATTAAAATAATGAGCGTTACAAGCATAGATGAGCATCGAACAAATAAATTATGTAAATGAAAACAAGTCCAACTAAAGGCATGACTCATATAGGTATCTATTTTCTAAATTCTCCTTCTCATAACATTGACTTTTCAGAATGCCAAATATTTAACTCGTCGAGTACCGGTTTTGTAGATACAATTATAGAACAATAGGTTGCGGTCACCGGTGACCGCTTGGTGTTTGACAGTTTAACAAAAAAAGCATGTTTAGAAAAAAAAATATTGCGTCAAATGTCGTAAGCTTTGCGGAGTCTACGAACAAAAAGTTCTAGTTCGACCTGATTTAATTTTGAAACGATTCAAATTCTTCAAATTCTATATAAGGTAATAACAGCTAAAAGTCAAGGACGTTCGACTGGAGTTTATGGGACTAGTTTTCTTTAGACTGACTAAAGTATTCGTGCGTGGGTCTATGTCTAGTAATAAATAAGGATTCGAAAATAGACATTACCTTACCTTACCTTTTTTGTTTGCATCTGGAATATTCAGTACGTTGTTAAATGTTTTATCCGGGTCCTTATTACTGCCTGCAAATTGCATGTGCACGTAGGTATGCATTGATTGCCATTTACACTATGAAAAAACATATTTACTTATCTTGACTTTTGCACTTATCTCTTCATTCGATTCTGATGGATAATGTTGTATAATTTCTGATTTTGAAGCTATAACGAAAATAAAGTTTTTTATCTCAAATGTATCATTAATCATTTTTATTCAGAATGCTTCTTTATTCACTCTTTGTGCAAATCTTCTAGTTAATACTATAGTCTAATTTATAGCAAATGTTATAAAGACTACTTATTCTACTTAACTCATAACTTTCCTTCAAAAGTATTTGAAAAATGAAGCGTCTGCAAACGTAGTTCAAAGCCGACTAAACAAAATGTTACCCGTATTGGGGATATGCCTTTTAACAGTTTACTTCGTCAGTGTATCCTGCGGTAATTTTGCAAGAAGTTTCAAAATACATTTGTCACAGTATTAGAATAATAAATATTAATTTCAAAACAAAATCGTTACATTGGTCTCTAGAAGCTGCAAAATTTTTATACATGAAATATAAAACATTTATTTTTTAGATGCTTCAAAAATGTCAATTACGTCTTTCAAACATAAGTTTTATCTATTGACCAAATAACGTGGATAAAAATACGAGTTGATCTACATTTGTCATTGTATATTCATTAAAAATGTGGATAGACTACATTTTATAAAAAAGAAAAATATTTAAATATTGTCGTAATAATGAACTACATTATGTCAGCAATCAAATTACCATAAGACTGCTCACATTTCAACGTGAACAACATATTAACATGTAGGCGCCTGATAGTTTAGGTATATACCTACATTTTATAACGGCGATAAAACTGGTTGCTATGCTTATAAAACAAGGTACCTGCACTAAAAAATATTTATGGAACAATTTTTTAGATGAATCCACTATACTTGAATTTATTTGAAGACAGTAGTAAAAAGATTTCCCATCAAATTCAGGATTTTTACCCTTAAACTGTCAAACACCAAGCGGTCACCGGTGACCGCAACCTATTGTTCTTTAATTGTGTCTATAATGACGGTGCTCGACGAGTTAACATTATTCGACCTGTGCACCATCTCTTTAAAAAAGTCATAATTAGATGAAAGAAAGAAAAAAAAAAATTCTGGCTCGAAATATTAATAATTATTATTGATAATTTCAGTTACGACGGCACTGATGGTTCATCTCGCACGGAAGAAGGTGCCATTTTGAACCCGGGAACCAAGGACGCAGCCTTGGACGTCGCAGGTGCAGTGCGCTGGTACGACGCAAACGGCCACCTCTACCAAATGACGTACAAAGCGGGGAAGAGAGGCTATAGAACAATTATCAAGAAACTATCGTAATACATTATCGGCAATGTAATACGTGCCTTAAGTATTAGTTCGAATACACTTCGATAACAAAAGACTGGACATTATAATGTTATTTATTTAATAGAATCGTTTATTTAATTGAATTAAACGGAAATTATTTCGTATGGATATTTTTGAAGTTAAAATCTTAATTTGTCAAACATTAATTTAATGAAAATGCCATAATTTTCTTTTTATTTCCAACTAGACTTTTTAGTCCATTTTTAAATTCTGTAAAAAAGCAGTCTATATAGTTAGGTTAAAATAATTTGATACGTAAATTAATTATACATTAAAAATAAGTTCTTCTATAATTAAAACTTAGCAATAATCTGTCTACTTATTTATGACCTAGAATCTGTCCACGTCCTATGTATTTAATTAGTATTATTAAATCTTGGGTTATACCCAATTTTTAGACATACATTATATTTCTAGACATATGAGAATATGATATACGTGCTTCTAATACGCACTCTTTTCATCTGTTTTGACTACCTCTTGGAAAAGATATGAACCTATTGACATTCAATAGAAATACTCCATGTTCCATGATACATCATGGAGCGAACAAATTATATATTTGTATACCCTATCTGGACATCATTCAGTATCTTCGCATCCCACCACAAAACAATAAAGGAAATCTTGAATCACGTGATCGTTCAATACAAAAAACTCAATACCTAGTTGAAGTAAGCTGAGCTAATTTGTTAATAATATATATGTAATTGTACATGTTGGCACATCGGTCTCCTATTGAACTGGCATACCTGTATGTACCTGATAACTAACCTGACTTATAATAAGTGTATACGTAGCCCAGCCCAGCATAATTATAATAGACTTGACCTGACCTTGAATGTGGATTGAACAAAGATGTAGCGACCAGGAAAGTACGAAAAGGACTTAAGCGATTAAGTCGCTAGGATAGCGCTGCGGTTTTTATTACGTGAATCGGGCTACAGGTTTCAGAAGAAATGCTCAGAAGATTGATTATTTATTAAAAAGTATCAAACAATAATGCTGAGAAATGTCACTGCCTGACCAAGACACAATTGTCGATATGGTGAAAACGGCTAAGTCAAAAGCATTCTCAATCTTTCTCTCAAGCTTTAAGAGATTAATTAATTAATTTAGATGAATATTTCTTAATATTTCTTTACTATGCATGTGTTTCAAGGTAAGTAGGTAGTTAATGAGCTATGATTGTAAACACAAACAGACAGCCGACAGAATGTTTGTCAATTTCGGCGCATGCCATATTTCATAAGCTGATTCGTGTTATCACCTTAGTTACTGCACTTCAACAAATTGATGTAACTTAACAAATAGACATTGTATTTAAGGCGATTTCTACCCGTTTTTATATCAGTCACATTTGTGTTTTGTGTGTACCTGAATACTAAGCTATTATCATGATTGCCACGGTAAGTCCTAAAAGGTTTAATGCCCTTAAAGCTTGTTAAAATAACATTACACCATGCGTTTTATCCCCGAAGAGGTAGGCAGAGGTGCACATTCCGCCACTTATTGCCACTGTACAATGCACCACTTACTATTTACTATTTGTGTTATGAGTCCTATGTAAGAGGTCACATGTAAGGGTGAGCCTATTGATATATACCGAGCACAATTCCAGACACCGTGCTACTATTGAGTTCTTTTTAAAAACCCAATAATATTTTGATCGACCTATGAAACTCATTTACCTATGAAAGTTCTCTATCATGAAGTCATTACATAGAAGAAAAAAATATAGAATCAACTCAGATTGTTACCGACTACCGATATCTAGAAGGTTGGTAGGTACTCGTAGACTAACCACGAAACAATACACGATAATTAATGTTCCGGTTGGTATTTGAAAATAATACTTAAGTACTTATAATAAATAGAATGGAAATACCTTGTTGAAATCACAATGAAATATAATTTACATAGACATTGACTTGTCAAAGATTTTACATAACACCTTAGACCTAGGTAAGAGGTGAAAAAATAATGACTGTGTTACGTCATTACTATTTTATGTATGTCATATTTTACATACATATTATGGTAATATTGTATCTTATATCTTGCCGTCGCGGAGAACCTAGCGTGTTACCGGGGCTCCGGCTCGAAGTACAGGAGAAGGAATGGGGTGGTTTTTAATCAGAAAGAGTCTGACACTCCCTCCCGCCTCACCAAGGAGGGAGCCGTCATTCCCCCTTAAAAAATAGCTTACTGCCGTTGGTTTCGGTTACCATTACAGAAAAAACTCTTTGTAAAGTAATTGACTCAAAAGTCTTAAAACTAAACTGTACAGTTATAATATAATTTTAATAGATAGATACATATAAAAAGTTTTATCTAGCAAAGATTAAAGTTACTTATGATTTCAGAAACTCTTTGTATTCGCTCTTTTTGCCGGAGTACTGGCCGTGGAAGAGAAACCCGTTGCTGAAATCATAACAGAAAGTACCATTGTTAATCCTGATGGATACAGTTTTGAGTGAGTATTAATATTGTTTGGAAAGCATTAAACTAATATATGACAAAAACTGATCATTATTTACTGTACAAAGTTCACCGACTGAGTAATTTGAAAGTCATACTTTCGTAAGTATTACTTTGTTTATCGACTGACTTATTACTCCCAGTTCCCATCCGTAACATGAATGGTTGTTTATTTTTTATTTTCGTGGCAGCGATTCTGGCATATACTCAGCAATTTAATTCAATAAATCCCAAAGTCCCAACAATAAAACTGGTTAGAATTGGGTTCACTATTTACAGTAATCCGTAGTTCTATTAACTGATTCGGGAAGTAAAAGAGTGCAACACGATATCGCCCTTTATAATCTAAATAACAAATCCAATTTCTTTTACAGCTTCAAGACCAGCGATGGCATATCCAGACATGAAGACGCCAGCCTAATAACAGTGGGGGACAAGCAGGGCATCGCAGTTAAAGGCTCCTACTCCTACCTGACTCCTGAAGGTGAAGAGTACCAGATCACCTTCACCGCTGACGACAAAGGCTACAAACCAACTCTTCGAGTTGTCCCCGCCCATCAATAATTTGCCAATATTTGTATTTTTGTATTGTTTTTTACCGATTTGTACTCATGTGATGTTGTAATTAAAAGATTGTTGAAAGTACGCCTGGATTTCTTTTGTTTTCTTATTATGAAAATACAGCATGGATTGAATTTATTTAATTATAGCACCCGACTCTAGGAGGAGTACAATAGTATTTGCAAATTTAACTTTTTTATGGGATAAACATAAACGAGCATACGGATCACTTGATGGTAAGCAATCGGCGTCGCCCATGGACAGCTGGAACACCAGAGGCGTTACCGGTCTTTTGGGAATTAGGAGTTTGAGGAATTAATTAATATAAGTATAAAGGAATAAATTAATTAATAGGACCTCCGCTCCGGTAACCACACTCACACGACGAAACACAACGCAAACGTTACTTCACGTCGGTTTTCCGTGAGGCCGTGGTATCACTCCAGTTGACCCGGCCCATTCGTACCGAAGCATGGGTCTCCCACACTTGAGGTAGGAATTCTCTCTAAAATGTCAGAATTCGCCTATATGATTGTCCTTACACTTAAATATTTTACAACTATAAACATAGAAGAAATAAAAAAGCATAACTTTTTGTACTCGTTATTATGAAGACACGATGAAATCGTGATCGTGATGTGTAACTTAGAAAGAATGGAGAATTTAAATTTCATAAACCGAATTTCTCGGCGTGAAAGTGGTGTCCATGATTCAAGAGGCAAGCGCCACCGCATATTGCAGGAGTACCTAACAGAAGTTAGGCAAACTGTGAGAAGTTTAACTCGTCGAGTACCGTCATTATAGACACAATTATAGAACAATAGGTTGCGGTCACCGGTGACCACTTGGTGTTTGACAGTAAATGTTTTTAATTGTTATTTTAGATATTCAATTTGTGTGAAGATCACACAAATCTTTCTTTTACGTACGTATGTATATAAGATTAAATTAACTCAAGCAGTAATGTTCGCTATTGGTATCTGTAGAGTAGACTTATCTATTAAAGTATAAACCGGGTAATACCTAACTTTAATCCCAAATTCGTAGCCCAGTTTAATCTTAAATGTAACACGGAATGTACAATAGGGTAGTTAACTAAATTTTATTTTAATATCCGTCTGATATATTAATTTAAATCATTAAAATCTTATATTCTTTTCTCATATGATTAAATATTTTCGACGATATATTAATTTGAAATATCGTGTGACGTCCATCCATTCCAGAAGTTAACGCCATTTTATCTAACTATTGTAACTTTATACCAGAAAATAAAAAAGGTGCCTAATATTTTTCATTATCAAACTGAAGGAAATCAAATTACATTTTTTTTTACTCTAGCCTCTACCTATTAGCTAGTTATAATAAACCTATTTCCAAACAAAATGCATAAACTACGACTTTTAAACACGCCACGATTCATATAGTCCATGAATTGTGTGCCTTGAATCATTGTCACCGTTCATGTATCGTGTAGTTTCATTTAGTAAGTTCGTGCAGACAATATTTTAGCAGGCACTTAATTCAATTATGCTCGAGTTCAAGAGTTCAAAAAGTGGACTTCATCAGACAGAACCATCAGTCTTCATAGACACCAATAACTGGTAAGTGCGAGTACCTTAATATTTTTTGTGTCTAAAGAAAATTAATTATTTCATGTAATGAAAGTTTAAAAGATGATTATTTCCGAACAATCCAAAGCTGATCTGATTTATAAAAGGATGATAATTCAAATATGATTTAGTAACGTCCTTTGTGTTCAAAGATTTATGTGGTTAATATTAATTGTAACTCCCGATATTTTTTCTGTACAGGTTGCGATGTCCATCTAAAAACCGACCTAAATAGCTAAAGCAAATATGAAAATAGATGAAATAATTCAATACCATCTACAATGTAAATTTTAAATAGAACTTCAACGTGAGTAAATTTTAAGTAAGTAGAATAATTATTAAATAGTACCTATACCTACATAATTAACTTTAGGTTCAATTTACAAAAGTGATTATACGATGCAAAGCAAAACTGATATTCTGACTTAATAAGGAAGATAATTCATTTATGATTAGAAATATTTAATTTTTGGTATCTATCTATTCCCCATATATGGTGTTAATTTTTTGTTTTTTGTGTTCATTTTAGATTCGTGTCTGATGATGAAGATAAATTATTATTAGAATTTACCTACCAGTTGGTAAGTTAAAGGTAAAAATATCTTCAAAAACAAAAACTGATTGATCGAACCACAAATTAGTTTTTATTTTGACTAAGAGCCTTTGCTCAAGAATCCTTAACTAAATCCATATCTAAATCGGTTCCAAAAATCAATGTGACTCAAAAATTAGTAAACCAAAAACATAAAGCTCACACGATGAATCACTTACCTCGGTAATTGAAAATCATTAATCATCCAAACAATTAGTTATACAATTCTAGCCAAATCTTTTTGTGATTGTGTCCTATTTGACTTTTAAATTGGAACGTGATTTTAATGCTGATTAATTATCATAAAATATGTCTCACAAAGAAGTCTTTGACGAACTACCTAGATTTTTTGTGTTAAGCTACTGTTTTTATAACGGCAAATATAATACAAATTTTCAGTTCAAAGTAATAATTATTATTATGTACTATCGACTCAAACTTCGGTCCGCCTAAAAAATATTTCTCGTCTTGTAAATCTTCCCTGGACTTCCACGACCATTTCAAGACCAAAATAAGCCAAATCGGTTCTCGAGTCTTAGCGAGACTAACGAATGGATTTTTTAAATAGTTAGATAAGATAAAATGGGAATAATTAAAATAAAATACATACATAATTTTCACCCTTTGGTAGGCAGTTGCAAGTTTATTTGGCAGTGTTAAAGTATATGGGAACCAAACATCCCTTTCAAATATTAATATTTGGTGTCAGCGAATTATTTTTGGGGGCTTATGTCATCTTTGGTGGGAGTTTAGGCTTGGGGGGCGGAGGCAGCGGGTGCTTGGGCCTTGTCACCAGATTCTTCAGAGGGCTGGTAGCCGTTCTTGTCAGCGAGGTAAGTGACGGCGATGTGCTGGCCGTCGGGAGCGACGTACTTGTAGCTTCCCCTCACGACCAGACCCTGCTGTTCAGTGTCGTTCTTGTACTCGCCAGTCTCCTGTCTTGAAGTACCATCGCTGGTCTCAAACCTGGAATGATGAAGAGGAATATAATAATATAATCTGTTTTGTTTTAACTTGTTTTGTGATGAATCACCTAATTGTAAATAGAGAGGAAATGCATATTTCTGTTTGTGAACATTTATTAGTAATACTGTGCTTATTTAAAGAAATAAAGCTATTTCGAAAATACCACAATTCGTTTAGATATAATAAGACACCATAAGTTCTTGACTTAAGTAGCCCACTGTGTAAATATACACTTCTAATATTCTTGCGGTTCTTTTAATCTCCTCAACATATTTGCGTGCGGTTACTTTGTTTGACTAACAAAACTTGGCGATTAATACAAATCAAGTATGTCATACATCTTCTATCAAAACAAACTTACGTTTAAGGAACAGAAGAAATTAAGAACAACTGAATATGTAAGGGATTTTTCGATTAAGAAACTCTATCTTTAACTGTCCTTCTTCTCTTGAAGGACCAAGATGATATCATCAAAAAAAGATTGGACCTCTGAACAAGGGTTCCGTCTTTCACTCCGTTCACAATACATATAACATCATAACATCGCGCCTTTTATCCCTGAAGGGGTAGGCAGAGGTGCACATTATGCCACTGTATAATGTAACACCCACTTTTTACTATTTATGTTTTAAGTCCCATGTAATAGGGAGTGAGCCTATTGCCATATACCGAGCACAATTACGGACTCCGTGCTCTCTCTCATTGCCCGACTGCCTCGTTGGCCGATTGGTCGACCAGGCAAGGGGTCTAGGGTTCGATTCCCGGGTCGGGCAAAGTTCACGATACACAAAAACAATTATACAATTAATATCAGAAGATATTGTTATAGTTGGGGAAGGCTAGGGAAAGAAGGGGCAACATTCGTGAAGATTTAAGAAAAAACTATAATGTATTATTTACTGGAACTTACTCAAAGTTGTATTTGTCAACATCAACATCGTCAACTTGCTTGACGATCTCTACAGCGGGGGCTGCAGCTGCAACGGGGGCCGCTGCCTCCTGAGCGCAGGCTACCGCAAGGGCGGCCAGAGCGAATAGCGTCTGAAATAAGAAGTGTTGAGTACATTAATTAGCTTTTTAACTGAGAATTTTGATTGTGTTCCAGTAATATTTGAATAAAATATAAGCAGAAATGATGTTCAGGTAATTTAGTACGTAATTAAGACGAACTGTCCGAAATTTAACCAATTTTTTTTGTACTTATAAAATTTTCTTCCTATGGGATTGAAAAAATAAAATTATTTTTAAAGCGTTTTTGTAGACAAAATATAGGTACTAAAAATCACTTACAATTTTCATCATTTTTGTAGTGGTGTTTTTTTGATAAAATTCAAGTAAGGATGTGTTGGTGGTAGGACGAGTCCTGAACGTCTATGCTCTGAAGTTACATGTTGAGCTATAAATATCATTTCATTGTATTGACAATGCGATGTTTCGAAGTTTCATTGGGAGGCGAGGTGTTAATCACAATCATGCAAACAGTTTATTTAAGGTGATCCAAGAAACGTTACAGGGATTTGTGAATTGTGTAAATTGTTTGTCGTCGGTCACCGCACGCGTGTGTCTCTTAACCTACATCGTACAGGCATCCTTGAAAACTCGATTTTTGTTTTCATTTAGAGTTCACACTAACGTGAAAATGCATCGCTATTAAAGCTATTAACAAATGTGCTAATCGTATCAAAAACATCCTCAGGTATTTTAAATGAGAGTAAATATTACATCAAGGTACCAAGGTGTTGCGGAACTATTATAATCGATCTTAGATCATTTCTGGGATTACATTCAGGTAATACAAACGTTTTGACATATTTTGGCACATGGCATTTAATATTGTCATTACAAAGTCTAATATTTATTTTATTTATTTTTTTATTTATTTAAATAGGTTAGTCAACAATTATTACACTTTTTCATTACTGTTAATAAAAGATATAACACATGTGCGAGTATAATAATCACTTATAGGCTAACACAGCATACACAATAGTATTAGTTAACAATGATATTGTTCATATCATCAATTTTCATTTCAATTATTAATGTGTGGTGTTAGCTTGGCTCATTGGGTCATATGAATGTTGTATTTTCACGTTTTGTGGTAAAGATAAGTACCTCCTATTATGTATAGAATAGGTGCATAACCAGTTTTACAATTTCACTGGAAATAAAATAGTTTTCATATCTTCATTTTTCATTACGTATATCTGTTATGTTATGTGATGTTCGTTGTGTCGTACATCCCTGCATGCATGATTGTAAAGATAAGTCAAATAATAACATTGATCCCGTAGGTACGACTTTTAAAATTTGTATTCAGAATGAAAGAAAGATTGGTTGTCAATCTTTTTTACAAAGTTTTTTTTTCCTGCGCCTAAGATTGATTGACCCCGTAGGTTCGATTTATTTTCAAAATTTTGTATACAGAATGAAAGAAAGATTGGCTGTCTATCATTTTTAGAACTTATTTTTTTTCTGCGATTTATAAATTGTAAGTTGTTGATGTCGACCTCAACACTCGCACTCAACCAACGATTCGGTCAAAGGTGAAGAGGTGGGGATTTATACTTCCACATAATTTCTTCTTTATAAATTAAATGTAATTAACTACGTGTACACCCACATACTTCTTCGACAATTTTAATGAGGTGTACAATCACTAAAGCAGGTAATTTAATGTATGTTTTGTCCTTCTAACAATATCTCCGTTAAGATCAGAGCCCATTTTCTAAGAGGATGTATCAGTAGGGCGGGTCACGAGTTCATATCAAACATGACGTCACCCCACGAACTAAGTACAAAGATGAGTTTTAATTATTAGTTGCAATGGGTAAAAAGGTTACACAGAACGCAACCTTCAAGTATCCTTAGTATTTGACGTTTTACGTAGGTATTTGTATGCCTATGCATATGTATATTTATGTATGTTTAGTAGATACAACTGTACAAGTTATGTAATAGACGACTATGTTAACCCACACCGCGCAATATGTCAATGTAATAGAATTTTCAATAAAACGTATCTAAGTTGTTGCAGGGATATCCGACTTTGTTTCTTTTAGTGTCCACGTAGTATGACTCTAATAATATTAATTTATTTAGGGCCAATTTTTCAATCGACTGATAACTTCTATTTGGAAAATGAAATTGACGTCTGGCATTATTTTATATGGAAGAATTGTCAAAAATTATTTCCTCACTATGCTTTCCTTCACCGTTTGTCAGTGGTGTCTAGATAATGTTAAAGTACATATAACTCGGAAAAAGTCGCATTGGTACTTGCCGTTAGTAAGTTTCGAACCCGCACCCTCGTGCATGAGAAACGGACGTCTTGAACCTCCGGGCCATCACGACATGACACCGATAAAGATTTCTGGCGTTTAAAAAATTGGTCCTTAGTCTAATTTTTATTATGTAGTCAACAGTAGTATAGTCAACAGCCAACCAGTAGTTATAACTAGAGTTATCCAGTTGAAATTAATTTTGGGTGACCTCGTATTTAACACAAACATGTAAACAGAACCATGGTTAGTTGCGTTTATGGGTGAAAAAAAAAGATTCATGATTCAAATGCGGAATCAACAGTCATTATATAAATGTAAGGTCATAATTTTATACTAATGGTCATATTATATATATTGTTATACGTAAAAACTAAGATGAGTTCTGGACTAGAGACTACGTTTGGGAAAACAGAATATATGGTGCCATTCTGATACTCTCTAAGTAACGATAAAAATGGCTTCAGTTGGTTGTGTCGAGCTTCGAAGTGAGCTACTAAAGAGACCTGTATCCATCTGAAGACGGGAATTAATGATGATACCATAAACTTGTTCAATATTCTACTTTTAAGTTACTCTAACTCTGTGAGCGTTTAGAAATAAGTTGTCTTTAGTTTCTAGCTGAGAATGAGGTTCAGCCTGTGATTTTTCTTAAGTTTCTTTTCATTTCTTGCATAAACGAATAATTATTTTTTTAGTAGTAGACCAAATATTATGATAATGATGGAACATTTAAGCAAGTAGTTTTTTATAAGCAAGAGGAGAGTTTCCAATGGCATCTATATAAGTAAAAAAATATTTTCCGTTCTTTATAGTCTCGCTAAAACTCAAAAACGGCTGAACCGATTTGACAAATTTTAGTCTTGAATGACTTGTGGAAGTTCAGGATGGGTTTAAAATATGAGAAAAAAAGGTTTTAGGTGGTACGAAGTTTGAAGGGTCAGCTAGTTTTAAATAAAACCTAAGTAACTAAAGTATGAAAAAGCTACACATTTTCAAAACACCGCGTTCATTTTTACTGCGCATCGGTGTTTAGTGTGATTACATTGTGCGTTTGCAGTACACAAGTACTTTTATAAATAAATACCGGTTATTATGTCATACATTTGTCATCTTTATCTATTATCGTCGACATAAATGTACACGAGTAACTGCATCTTATAAACTTCTGTTTCCATACCTTGAAACATTAGTTCAAATACGTTTATTTACCAGATGTTCGTAAAGTAAGGAGTTAAAGACGTCTAACCGTCTAGTAAAGCATACAAGTAGTTGTAGAAATGTTTTATGAGTTATTTTTTATTAAAGTGATGAGGCATTGTTGCCTTTGTTTAGTAGTACACGTTCTCCGGTTGATGAAAATAATGACCCTTAGGTCAGTAAATAGGTACTTATACCTATGGAATGTATGGTTTCCACAAAGTCCTGATAAAGAATATTTTTTTTTGCTCCACACTAGTATTTTCTTCTGTGTCATGGGTGCATTTGCAAACATACAATTTCACATACACATGACACCCAGACCCGATTTGCAGATCACACAAAGAATTGTTCCGTGCGGGTCTCGTACTCGCGCCACGTTGCATGGCAGTCCGTTGCCCAGCCACCGCACCAACCGTGTTTCCGTAATCTTTTCCAAGGTCACGTCTATCTCAAACATAAATTCACTTTTACGGTTTTAAGTACATACTATACCTACTAGGATTGCAGACATTAGTCTAATAGTTATCATTCTACTAATACTCTATGTAGACGATAAGCCTAAACCCTTCATCAGACCACCACAGAATGATGGGCCCCAGTTGAAGTGATGTCGATACGGATAACTTAACGGGTTACCGGGGTTTCAACTCGAAGAGGAAAAGTAGGAACTGTGTGGTTTTTAGTCAATAAGAGTCTGACATTTCCTCTTGCCTGACCCAGGGCGGGAGAAGTCATTGGATGATTTTCCCCATCAAAAAAAAGCCTAAAACTGTACTCATTCTGTTTCACAAGTGCGAAGAAGATACATTGCAAATGTAAATACAGCATTTATTTACACGCTTGTTAAGAATTTCTATAAATTGCTTAGTGTCATCAATATGCAGGTTCTATCTGATTTATTATCTACTCATTTTCCCACGCAAATCGATGAGTTAAAGCAGCTAAGTTGCAATAATATTACATAGTACAATGATGGTAAATATTTTCTATTACTTAAATACTTCTAACATAATATAATGTAACTTCTACCTCTATTTGTAACATTCTAATCTTATAAGACTGAAATTCATAATATGCATACACTATGTAATTCCCACTTTTTATCTACTTTAAAGTTCCCATTTACCATAGGTGAGCCTACTGTCATACAGTGGATAAAATCTAGCCTTCGTGCTCTTACAGTGTTTTTTTTTTTAAACCGTAACTAGTTTAAACTGTCAAACACCGAGCGGTCACCGGTGACCGCAACCTATTGTTCTATAATTGTGTCTATAATGACGGTACTCGACGAGTTAATTAATACTTCGTTCACGCAATCGATACCGGAATTCGTTACTAAGCAAACTTCTTAATATTTCTATTAGGTATCAACTAATGTAAAAGTGTTGACTACTTCTACACATTTTCAATATCACTTGCAACACACATGATGTAAGCTATGAAGTTATAAGTACGTGAATCTTTAAGAGAAACTTAATCAAACATTTGCTTTGTGTGTACCGGAACAATACAAGTGTACTTGTACACAGAATGTGTTATTTGATTTACACAACACTCCCCGTGATTAATTTCATATTTTTCATTGCAATATCAACGTTAAATAAGACCTGGTTAAGACATTGAGTCTTGAGCTGATACCAAAAAATTATTGGCAAGAATTCCATCACCATCCCTGTTATTATATTATCCTATCATCCCTAATTGTATGTGGATACAGATGTATGTCGAACATTCATGTCATTGAGGAGTGTACTCCTAATCAGTCGACATGGGGTGCGGTGCCAGAAGACCTCCCCGTGGTGCACCCTGGGTGCGGGCGACAGTCTCCCTAGCGGGGGTGATAGGGTTGGAGTGACTGTCGCCCGCAGCAGACTTCTGGACTGGGCGGGCGAACCCGATAGGG